CCCCCCCCCCCCCCCCCCGCCCTCCCCCGTCGACAACAATTTTGGCAAGTATCACCTACGTTTCTTTAGTCAGTTAATGTAATACTTGATGTAAATTAATACCTCAAGAAAATGTGAGTTTCTTTCAATGACAACTCAAAATTGTTATCATAACTCACAAGGAGACAAAGGACTTGTGCAGGGTAAGGTGATGTAGCTTGGTACGCGTCTAGATACGCGATATCTAATTTGTGCTTTTGAAGTTTCCTGGGCTTTCAGACCATGATATCTTGACAGGAACCGGTTACAGACAAGCAAGTTTTCTATGACAAGTTTTTATGTGACAAATTTTATTTGCTCGTCTGTACGCGCAACTTTGGCAATTTTTTTCAAGTACGCACTTGTTCAAAATTAGCATGTTAGCTTTTGATCAAGTGCACTTGTCACAGTAAAATTATCAAAGTACAAATTTTGCTCGTCTGTTATGGGTAAACAAAGAAAACTTGTCAACGTAATCTGAGTACTTGCATGCAGTTGGTCAGCGGTCTATTGTCATAACGTGTCTCAACTGTTCCAGATTATTAACAGGCACTTACCTTCTTCCCATGGGTATGCAGATGACACTCAACTTTATTTATCTTTCCGTCCTGAGTCACCCGTTGTCCAAGACCAAGCTATTCACACTATTAATAATTGCATCGTCGAAGTTCGTGCTTGGTTAGTTTCACATAAATTAATGTTCAATGACACTAAAACGGAATTCTTGATAATTGGAACTCGCCAGCAGCTGTCTAAGGTTACAATCGACTCGATTGAAGTTGGTGATGCTGATATAAAACCTGTACAAGAAGTCCGAAATCTAGGTTCGTGGTTTGACGAACATATGTCGATGAATGTCCATGTGGGCAAGGTTTGCAGCAAAGCATTTAGGGGCCTGTACAACATCCGACAAATAAGGAAGTTTCTCTCCATCGAATCAACTAAAACGCTCGTACATGCCTTTGTGACGTCACACTTGGACTACTGCAATTCTCTCTTGTTCGGCATTCCCCAATACCAACTTCAGCGTCTTCAACGAGTTCTCAATGCCGCTGCTAGAGTGACGTGTCTTATACCAAGATGTGCTCATATTACCCCTGTCCTGATGCACCTTCACTGGCTGCCTGTCAAGTTTCGCGTTGATTTTAAAATTGCACTTCTGGTATATAAAGCCCGCCACGGGATGGCGCCAGGCTACATTATGGAACTGTTGTTAGAAAAACCGAACTGCTGTTACCAACTGAGATCTGATGATCAGGGACTACTTTTTATCCCAAAAACTAGAGCCAAGACTCTTGGTGATCGAGCATTTGTGCATGCAGCTCCGTCAATTTGGAACATGCTACCTTCTGGTATTAGAAATAGTAAAACAATTGACTGTTTTAAATCTCAATTAAATACTTTCCTTTTTAAGAAAGCTTTCGATTCTAACTTTTAGATTTATAGACACCTATACCTTAATTCTTAATATTTTAGCTACTTGTATATAGTATAACCTCATTGTTGTAAAGCGCTTTGGAATATTTTATATAATTTAAGCGCTGTATAAATCTTTATATATTATTATTATTATTATGGGTAATACTAGTAGCCATCGTGGCTGTCAGAAAACCAAAAACTTGTCATAGAAAATTTGTTGCACATACACACGTGCACTTGGCAAATAAAACCTGCCATATATAAAAGCTTGTCATTGAAAACTCGTCTGTAAGCGGCTTAATTCTGACATATCTTGTTTAGTTGACAAATGTCGTTTTGTGGCCTGCTCAAACTTTGTTGAAGATTTATTCAGGCGTAGAAAAGACTGTCTTGTATGGAAATCGGAGCGAATTTTTTCTTGTTGTAAAATTTGCTTCGATTTAAATTATTTGATAACATGGAAAGATTTTCTCTAGCCTTCATTTTGACAAGTAAGTGCATGATTTTAGAACGTAAACAATTTCAAATATTGTCTATTGGTCTGGAATTGAAATCTGGTTAGAGCACTGCCTTTTGCTAAATGGAATTAATATTAAAACTTGGGGATAGTATCTAATAAATTTGCGGTGTCTTTAGCTTGCAAATCTGTCTTATTTTAAGGAATAGAACCTATTATATATTTCTGTCTTGCTTCCCCAAATCCGTTGATAAAATTTGGTAGAATATACAAGTATATCAAGAACGTAGAGATAGGAAACCGCGACATTTCGACTCGTAATAACAATGACAATAACATCTTTAGTTCACACCGTAAAATCATTTTTGTTGTTAATATATTCCACTATTAAAATAAGTTCAACAGCATAACCTCCAAAAATGCGCGTAGCGAGGGGTCTAATTTCGCTCGGCTGCATGTTTTTCTGACACGATTGAAAAAGAGTGGAAAAGTCCATCAACGACCATTATGTTTCACGGGTGACCATCAACTGATCGGATTCTCATGGCAAGATTTTCAGTAAAAGGATATGAGGAGAATATTAGTTTATTGGTTAAAGAAAAAAACAACGTAGAGTGTTTTGTTGGAAGAAAAACATGCAGATGTGACTGCAAGCATCGTGGCATAATTTTAATTTTATGAAGGCGCCTTTTATTACAGAACAATAATATATTTAGTATTCACTTCGCATTTCTTGCGTACATTTAGTTCTTCATTGGATTAGAATTATACGTATTGCTCGGTTTTGTAAATCACAACAGGGTTCGTTGTTAATGTTTTATGCAATATTATTAAACGGTATAATCCAGTATAGTCAGACTGTTTGTTTCTATATATATATACGAAGCTAGTATAAGACATATTTCGTAAGAAAGGCTGACAATCGATATAAGTGCATAACTAAACTAAGTTTGGCCACGCTTCCTCCAGAAATTCGTCCTGCAAGCCACGGCATATCTGACAATTTAGTGCCGTTGTTGATTTGTTGTCTAGAGCTAAGGGACGGACCATTAGAAAAGTGATGGGGAGGGTGGGGAAAAAACAGAAAAAAAATCCATGCAAACAAAAAATGTTTGAAAAAAAATACATGCAAACAGAATTGTTTAAAAAAAAAATTACAAACAGAACAACAATAGAACTTTAATTTTAAATGTGCATCAGACAAAATTGAACTAAATCTTTGGAATATTTCAGAATATAAATATATCAAAATATATAATATATTAATATGCAATTTCTTTCAATATTAACAGCAACTGTTATGTAGTTTTATTATATATTATCAAAATATTTTCTACTGTCTTTAATAATTCTCATTCACACTGTCACTGTCCTCAGTGGCGTAACTACTATGGGCTTGGACCGGGAGAATCCGGGGACCCCCAACCCCAATGGGCCCGCAAATGGGGGGGCCCCAGGCTCGGGCTATAGAGCAAAAACATTGGCCAAGGGCCTCTGATATGTTACAATGGCGTTTTCTGACAACAGAATTCTGTAAAATCTCTCCCCCAAAGTCCGGGAAATGGTATTTCAGAGAATTTAGATTCAAAAATTTTGCGGGTGAGCATGATCTGGACCCCCTAGAAAACTTGTCAATATATGGCGCTTGACTTGTGCCTTTGGCACTTCTACTAGGGGGGCTTCGAAAGTTCTGAATCGGGGGGGGGGGCTGATATAACGTTAGGTATACGCCACTGACTGTCCTCTTGATCTACAACCACCAAACTACCACTTTCTCCTTGGTTTATAATTGCAGTGTCACTATCTTGTTGATCTACAACCAAACAACAACTTTTCCCTCGATCTACAATCAAACTGACACTATCTTCTTGATCTATAACCGAACTACCACTTTCCCCTTCATCTACGATCAAACTGACACTATCTTCTTGATCAACAACCAAACTACCACTTTTCCCTTCCTCTACAATCAAACTGACACTATCTTCATCTACAATCAAACTACCATTATCCCCTTCATCTATCAAACTGACACTGCATGTCTTCCTGATCTATAATCTCAATGGCAATATCTTCTTCTACATTTTCTTTTCCTCTACTTAATCTTGCTCTTTTCTTTTCTCATGTTTTGTTTCTTCTTCCTTTTGCTCATTTGTTCTGCCATACTGCTTCTATATTTCTCCTTAGATTGTTTCACTAAAGCCTCATAATTGCAAGCAATTTCCGTGATATATGCTACTGCTTCTTTCACTTTCGCATTGTGTTTATGTCAATAACGATCTCTTATATTAAAATGCTATTTATAAGTAATAATATCTGGTTTAGCCTAAAATATCCTTAAAGATATTATTTTGCAGTGTGTATTAAAGGGATATTTTTTGTCAAGAGAACAGTTTCGTTAACATTTGTATAGTTGTATTGGAAAAAAATTGCATGAGAGAAGACATATTTAAAAAAACATGCATACACAGCTGACAACCTGGAAACAAAATGCAAACAAAAAAAATTTACCCCCCCCCCCATCACTTTTCTAATGGTCCGTCCCTAATGATAATGGACTTCAGCAGCCACAGCCATTTTCTCTTACCATATGTCAACGTACAGTTTGCATTCTCAAAGTCCTCTGGCGATCATTTTTTATTCCATCTATTCTTGAGTTGTAGAGTGCAGGGCCTTCTGAATGCCTTCGGTTTCAAGTCGAAGATTCCATTACAAATGTCAAAGAAAATGAGGAAATCTGGAGCACACAACAGTCGGAACAATCTGAATCTCAACCTCGTAACGTCTTATTTCTGAGTCGCTTCTTAAAGTCTCGAAGACGTTCA